GCCCCCCCCACGAGAGGTTGCCATTTTTGTTCAGACATCAGGATTGTTTGAACAATTAAAATTAAAGAAACTACTTACATATATATCATAATTCTGACTTGTGTTGATGTACTTTGTACTAACAGAATTGTAAAAAACATGATGATGACAAGGTTGGGATGTTAATAGCCTGAAACCTTTATGTATTTGGAAATCAATAGTTATACTTGTTCAGTTATTTCCGTTTTATCTGTTACAGTCATCAGACATCTGTGAAGTTGTTAGTGTCTGATTCGGGGGCACTGATGTGTACAGTATATTGGTAGATATAATGTATACACTTATGAAACGCCAGTGTTATAAATTATACATTTTAGTGAATTACTAATTATGAAAACTTGTTGTTCTTGGGAAAAATGGAATATTTCTGTCTATATATTTGTGATAAAAAGGGTATAGACTTATTGAACTGAAAGTGCCTGTCTGCATATGCATTAAAAGGCACTGAATAATTAACCCCTATTACTCTTTATTCATAATGAATTTGAAGTTACGAGTTAATTTTGATGTTTGTTTCTGTAAGTTCCAGCAGGACATTTTTTCTATCATTTATTCATATAAAAAAGGCTTAGGTAATAATAGTGCTCCTTAATTTAGTATAATCATTCTACATTCTGACTCGGTACAACAAGAACGGGATATTACTAGATAGTCCATATGGAATGTTTGTGTTCAGACTAGGACACTATAAAGCAGTATTAACTTATCTATGTCATTACGATGCAAAATATCATTGTACAGTACCTCATTATTCAAAAACTTTGGTGTACTACTGCTGAAAGCTTTATAGACAGTTTGGATTCGCTTTTCATTTATTTGATGTCAGAATGGATCAATTTGACCTTTGACCTGTTGAGATAGAAGCAATTTTTCTTCTGATGTTTATGAGATATGTATATATATCCATATCTATGTTAATATTGAATAATCTGATCTGATTGAGACTATTAGATAATGAGGATGGGGTAGCTATGGTCAGTTGGAACTGACCAACATGGGTCAGTATGCATGAGATATGACCTATTCACCCTTTGTTAATGAAGGGCATCTAAATTGAATATTTCTCAATTTGCATAGTAATAGCCAGTCATATAAAAGTAATTGGTTTGTATGAAATGACCAGAGCTATGGTCAGTCAGGCACTCCCTGACCCGTAAGACTGGACTCGTAAGACTGGACACGGGGTCCAATGGTTGTATAAACCTAACCATTATACAATGGAATATTTATAATAAAAGTACACAAAAGTTTAGCATTTCTTTTCTCTCCAGATTTCTGCCCCAGAGGCACACACAAAATGTTTTTATTTATTTAATTGAAGGTCTATGTAGATTGCAATGGAAGTTTAGGCAATTTATGGCTGTTTACCTTGTGATATATTTACTGGTCAGTATTGTCCAGCTGTACATAACCCTGGTCAGCTGATAAATTAAATAAACACCCCTTCTAGGCTACCTAAATCTGAGGGTGAAAGGGAGATTAATGGAAACTTTTCAGGCTTGTTTGTCACATATTAATCAGACCTATATTTAAATGGCTACATAATTTGTGGAGAAATCAAAGGCGAGAATTCCTAAGAACTGGTGTTATTTCATATTTTCAGTGATTAACATTGACAGGGTAACTAGATTCCTTTCATGTCGGAATGGAAACTGATAACTTTCTTCTGGTAATTTTAGAAATTCTTCAAGTGTAACCATAATTGATATGGATAGTCGGCGAACCCTGACCACTGGGTAGAAACATCTGATAGGGTTGGCAAAGTCTGTTTTCATTTATTATTGCATAAGCTCTTCAGTATCTGGGTCTCCCATTCCACCGAGATTAGGGCCAGGCAATTTTATTTAGCTTATCAGAAATCAATTTGTTTTATGGATTTTTATATTATTCCAAGTATTGCAGGCCCAATATTTTGATTCCATCTTATCTGACCTTTGTAATTAGTTTTATTAACAGCCGAGGACTGTAGAGCAGACAAAAACTTGTGATAATTCTTACATAACATACCTTATACCTACTGAAAACAATTTTCAGAAAGAATTGATATTGAGATGAATTCATAAGGACTTTTATAATCTACAAAATAAATATTTTCCCATAAGTTTCTTTGTAACATACATTAGTTTCCGTACAATGTGTCGAGTCAATAGACAGTGAGATGAACACAGTTTTACACCGACTCTTAATATCAATAAAGTATATTTTCCATAAGAAATAATTCCACAACAACAATCCTGACTCTACTTACCACACAACACCATGTACACCTCATTCATATTTATTACATAAGACACTTATATATTGTGTCAATATAATTGTTGATTGGAAATATTTTTGAGTGATTCCTAATATCAACAGTAAGTGTAGTTGACGTTTAGATATAATTGTATTCATTCTGTTAAACAGTCCCTAAATCTCGTAATACATGTGATGTAAAGTGTTTCAATTTCATGAACAGAAAAAGTACTTATAAGTAGTCAAAATCAATATACTGTTTTTCTTTCTTTTTCTGTTTGCATTTTGATAATTAAATGTTTCATCCAACATGATAATTTTGCTGTTTTTTTCATTTTCTTGTAACTTTATAGGGTAGTTACGGTAAATAAAACGTACACACTTCATATTCATGTACACACTAAAATAATGCATGGGGCAAATTGAACCAGGTGACCTTACAGCTTTCACTAAAGGTTGAAACTATTGCTGACATTTAACAGAAATAACAAAGAAAGTTTTTACAAGTGAAATGTATTAATATAAAGGGGGCGTCCCAGTGGATTGTGTAAGAACCGTGCTTGAAACAGGCGACTTTGAGCATCTGTAAGGGTTCTCTGTAAACAAATGTGATGGACGTAAGTGGACGCCATTGTTAGATGTATTGCTATCCTCAACAATATGGAGGATAGAAACTCCTGAAACACAAGAAACACATTCCTAAAGGTAATGGTAGCTAACAAGCTAGAAACTGTCAAGTTTCATATGAACATTTATTACTCCCGATAATATCAAAAGTCGCCACAACACTGAAACTGAAACTTGGAGAAGTGTGGGAACCATGTTTTGTGTAGAATTCCATTGTTCTCTGGTTTAGAGATTATTTATGGCCATAGATACTAACTTGAAATGCTACCCAGATAATTGCATCAAATAAACCACTGGCAAATTTGTATTTCTTGATATGAAGACTCAGTTTATTTTGGATTCAAAAGTAATTCCTTGTGACGTTAATGATCCGCGGTTGTGTATGAAATCTAAGAAGCCAACATTTTTCTTTTTCACATCTTGCAGGTTTTAGTTGCTGCGAATGTAGATAAGCAATTTTGACGTTATTATAAAAAAACTTGTCTTTCCTGGTGCGTGAAATAATGGGAACTATTTGCATACCAAGTGATGTAGCTAATTACACGTTTAAACAACCTTACTACACAAGTAACCAGGCACTTGTGATGTAAAGTTTAATTGGAAAGATGGCAACAGATATGAGGATTGCTAACAAGACATGTAAGACTTTAATATGGTTTTGTATATGTCTGTAGCTAACAAGACATAATATGATTTTGTGTATTTAAAGTTTCCTAACATCTACTCAAAGGTACAAAAGGTTTGCTAATGGGAAAATTACAACCACCATGTATTAGTGACTGGATTTCAAAGCAAAATTTCTTCTCAAGATTCTTGTAGATTCTTCTTAGATGTCACTTACTTTTTAATTCTGACAATTAGGCCCAGTAGGAGTCTAACATTGGGGGTGTGAGGCCAGGGTTTGATGTATGACTTACTGTGAATGACAAATTTCTGTTTTGCATTCATTGGAGTTGTGTGCAACAGAAGATTCGTATGAGTTATGTGTTGATATTGTCGGGACATAAACCATGGCTAGATAGCTGCAAGCTCATGGTTTTAAATGTTGATTCTTTTTGATATTTGAATCATGTCATATGCTTGAAGTTGATTTAGTTCTGTGTCTGTTCAGCCTCCAGTTTCATCAGAAGTGAAGATATATTCTAACTTTATGAGTCAATTAGCGAAAAATGCCTAGATATTAAGTGTGGGACTGACATGTTCTATGAAATAATGAGAAAGAAAAAGTAGATAGTTTTCTTATCGGATTGACAAAGTGAACATTAAGTGCCGTTCCAAACAAGATGTCTGCCAGTTTTGGCAAGCTGGAGCACCCAGCTGTGAGCTATTTGTCGAAAATATATATGATGTATGACACGACTTCATTGGAGTCCGCTATCAGACCATTTCATTTGTTGCATCTAAACCCTGTATCACGACCCTGGCTCAGAGTGGAGTGGTTTTAATTTCATATCTCTGATGTAAACCAGGCCTCGCTACATCCCGTCAAATATTACTCAGATGTGAAATTTGTATAAAAAAAAGCGCTGCTAACCAGAAGAATATCTGTTTCACTTCAACCCAGATCGTTTTCTTACTAAAGCTTCCTTTGTTCAATTTTACACCTCTTATGAGTATAAACCGTGGCCGCATATCATACTTATAAATTGGCTGTGAGATTAGCATTCTGTCCTATCACTTTCTGTCCAATTTATAAGAACTATGATCTGGTTATAAAGTACGGTATTGCCTGAGGTATATTTTCTTAGCAATAATCTGTCTCCGGTGTCCCAAGATCCCTGAGGTTCGCATACTATTAATATTTGTAAGGTGTTACGATTATCAATGCTTAGAATTTTCCATCATTATTTATAGCTAGCACCAATACATCATACAGGAGACTTGTCACCCTATACTCCGTACAGTAAATATCAAAACAGGTTCGAAATTTACAAAAACCTGAAACATGTTGGTGATAAATTGCAACACATAAACCTACAGTATTGCAGTAAGATATTACAAGATATGTATTTACAAATTTAACTGATGCACATTACGACATATGTAGATGTCCTATCTAATGCTATACTAATGTTTTCTTTCCCATTTTGTCATTATAGGGGAAAGGCCATTCAAGTGTAACATCTGTGGTAACCGGTTCTCAACCAGAGGAAACCTGAAGGTCCATTTTGAGCGACACAAGGCGAAGTATCCACATGTGAAAATGAACCCGAATCCGGTTCCGGAGCACCTGGACAAAGCGCCGCAAATGCCACTGTTGGGGTCGCCATTCCATAGCATCACCACACCTCCACCTCTACCAATGTCTTCTAGCATACACGGCTCTTTGCACATACCGCTGCCTCCACCAATCACCTCTGTGGCTCCCGCTCCACTCCCACCGACAGCGCACTCCCGGCCACGATCGGAGAGCAAGAGTTCCGAGGACAAGAAGCCATTGCCTAGTCCCAAACAATCACCTTCTTCTGTTGTCAGCACAACTCCCTCGTCTGTTGTAAGTGACCATTCTGCTGGGAAAAAGTCTCCAATTATTGAGACCTCAAAGGCAGTATCTTCAGTGTCAATGTCAGCTTTACTGCCACCTTCCCTACCGATAAGTTCCAGTAGTTTAGGCCACATTGATAGCCAACACAAACCTATTTCTAGTCCCTTCATGCTGGCGCCATCCACCTCACATATGCCACCAATCATGTCACACCCACTGTTGTCCCCACTGTCCTCGATGCATCATTCGCTGCCTCCTCCACCACCTCCACCTCTCATGTCAGCCGTTCCATTTGGCCAGCCATCTGGTCGTGACTCCATCTTGCCAGCTAAAATGATCGACCATGACGAAAGCTTGGAGCAGTACATGGAAATCAACCGATCTGAAACCTCCAAACTTCAGCAGCTGGTGGACAACTTGGAGAACAAAGTGTCTGATCCTAACCAATGTGTCATCTGCCACCGTGTCCTCAGCTGCAAGAGTGCTCTCCAGATGCACTATCGCATCCACACTGGAGAGCGACCTTTCAAGTGTAAGATCTGCGGCAGGGCCTTCACAACCAAAGGTAACCTCAAGACTCACATGGGAGTCCATCGCATGAAGCCGCCACTTCGTATGATGCACCAGTGCCCTGTGTGCCACAAGAGTTTCACCAATCTGTTGGTGCTTCAGCAGCATATCCGTAGCCATGCCGGCATGCAGGGTCTACACCCAATGCCTCATATGGAACCAATGCGTATGTTCCCCGATATGCACCCACCGATGCCGAGCTGGGCCCCAAGGCCATTTGATCTGTCAATCAAACCAGACCCTGAGAAGGAGCTAGATCTAAGTAAGGCGAAGGTCTCCGGCTCTGGGGGTCATCATAAGGATGAGTTAGACAGTGGGGATGAGGTCAACAGAGACGACTACATGGACAATGATAGCTTTGATGACATGGATGATTGTGACATTGAGGAGGATATGGAATTAGAGGAAGATCGAGAGAGGATGAAGAAGGAGTTGGACGAGGATGGTGAAGAGGAAACCAATCATAATCTAGCTTTGAACAATAGTGGAAAACATAAGTTTGACCAAGAGAATGACAAGAGCAGGAAAGAGTCTCTGAAAAGACCTGCCTCTGCAATGTCTGATGGATCTCAAGATTTGGAAAGGTCTTTGAGTCCAAAGTACATTAGTCGGTCGCCACAGATGGCACCAGACATGGCGATCTTCTCATCCTTTGGTTCCACCAGCACTGCGCCGGTCTTCAACTCCTCGCTTGCTGCTCTGGAGGAACGTGTGCGCGCGATCGATGCATCCATGGCTCAGTCTCCACTGCATCACTTCAGACCGATTTCACACATGAATGGTTTGCCAATGTCCCTGCCTAACGGTGACACCTCTCCAACCTCTCCAAACCATCAGTATGAGTCGGGATCAGAGGGCCATAGTGGCGAGGATGGCAGCAAACCAGGAACTCCGGCTCTCTCTGTCACCAGTGATGGTGGAAGTTCTATCGGGTCCGGCAGTGGCTTCATGATGGATGCCAATGACCACCGTAGAACAAGTACAACATGCAACATCTGCATGAAGACTTTTGCCTGTAGAAGTGCTTTGGAAATTCACTACAGGAGCCACACCAAGGAACGGCCATTCAAGTGTAACTGTTGTGACCGCAGCTTCTCCACCAGGGGAAACATGAGGCAGCATATGCTCACGCATAAAATCCGTGATTTGCCCAAATCGTTCAAGGAAAATGGTGATAGCAAAATGAGCGAGAACAATAATTCATTGGACGCTCCTGATATGGAACAGGGCAAGACTTCTCAGGAATTCTCTAGTAACCGATCTGATTCCTCAATCACCTCAGGTTCCTCAGGCAACCATCACACCTCCACGACGAGTCCCACGTCCACTACCAACAACACCACTAGTTCACGTGACGGCGACAACTCGCCATTTGTGCGTGAGGCACCTTTGAAGCATCAATGTCAGGTCTGTCAGAAAGGCTTTTCAAGTGCAAGTGCGCTCCAGATACATATTCGCACTCACACTGGCGATAAACCCTTCAAGTGTAATGTCTGTGGGAAGGCATTCACCACCAAAGGCAATCTGAAGGTACACATGGGCACACACATGTGGAATAACAGTCCATCGCGTCGTGGCCGTAGGATGTCCATAGAGCCGCCATTCATGATGGCCCACAAAGACAACCCCTACCTAGCAGGGTTTCCTCACCGATCCCCAGACTTTTTTCCGTATCAATTCCCACCGTTCATGGGAGTAACACCACCAAAAATGAACGAAATTTCTGTGATCCAGAACTTGGCTGGAGGGTTAGGACACATGCCTCCAATGTCTCTCGCACAAGAGATGACATCTCCACGCAGTAGTAGTAATAGTGTTTCTAAACCTACAGACTCTTTCAGTAATGGTAAATCTGACTGGAAACACAAGAGTTCATCGGAAGGTCGCAACACAGACTCTCGTAGTAGTGCATCAAGTTCAGGTGAGCTTGACCTGAGCATGAAATCTTCACGTTCATCCCCTTCTCCACCGAACACCTCCTCACTGCCCGACAAGGTTTCCTCCTGGTCGTCAAAGAGCTATCACTCTTCACCGAGTCCCATCGACCATCACAGTCAGCCCTTTCACTTGAAGGGGGAATCTGCCCATAAGGGGGTAGTAGCCTAAAGTTGCCATAGCAATTCTGTATTGTGAAACATTATTTGATTGGACTTTTCATACTCTTCACCTGGTTAACAGTGCGGCTTTGTTGAAATGAGAACAGTAAAATAACTTTTCTGTGAACATTATTGCATGCTGTTGAATATGTACAAATTTTTGTACATAGATAGAATGAGATGCCGACTGTTGGATGTACACCCCACGTAAGCCTGTTGTTGATGTAATTATAGGCCTAGATGTTCATCTTGATCTGACGCAACATTCCACAAAATGTTGCAAGAACGATATTGTCACTGTTGGTATGTTGTTTTAGAGGAAAAGTTTTGTTGTGAAATTTTCAAGAAATTGAAATATGATGTTCATTAAAGTTTATGAGTCTGTGAATGTGTATATCAATTGTCTTCAATACTGATTGAAGGCGTACAAAAGGGCAGATTATGTAATATATATGGTGTATGATATATTTTGAAAACTCCGCCTCATTGTAAAGTTGTACCAGACGTAGAATCTCCCTCATATTAACGGTTGTGATGACTCATTGTGTATTAACTTTAAACTCTGTTGTCATGGTAACAATGTGGTGTCCTTGAAACAGACTCTGTTGCCATGGAAACAGTGTTGTCATGGAGATGTCACAGTATTTTGTGTGCACTGGATTTTGTTTTCATTAAGGTGCATGTGATGAAATGTATTGTGTAGTTATATATCAACATGTTACTGTGTAGAAACGTTTCTGTATAAAGTATCTTTTTATGGAATGAGATCTGAGGACCCCTTCATTACTTACACCATCATGTGTGCACCTTGAGTGTTTGAATGCATATAAAGGTAACTTCCTGGTAGTGTTATTATGTGTTTTTAAGTGTACTTTTACGTAGAAATAAATGATATCTAGTCGATACACTGTTGCTAATCAAACGATTTTATATTTGCATATCATAGTTAGTGGAATGGTCTACCTTGCCTTGCCCATATAAATCACATTCATCGTGGATCTGTGGTCAAGATCCTAATAGTTTTAAGAAACATAAACGGACCAGTTAGGTAGGATAGATGCTGGACCCCACTGCCTTCCACAGTGGGGTTCATTACATCCTGGTTTTTAGCATTGTCAAAACTTTGCTGTTTATTTTGCATTTTTTCCCAAATTCTTGCCAGTTGAATACATCTACAGCGAAAACAAATTTAGATATTTTCATATTTTAATTTCACTTATTGTTTACAAATATGTAGTTTACATTTTAAAATTAGGCTGTACCATATCCCATCCCCTCATCAATCAGTATTCTCCAACTTACGTGATATATCATTATTTAAGGTCAATAGTATCCACCTCTCCCTATATATTCCTAGTTTAATCTCCCCTTCCTATTTCACCTTATCTGTAGTATAATAATACTTTTCCCTCCTTCCTGTCTGTTCCTTTGTCTCTCTCTCCATTCTTTCCTGATAGTCACAGTTAGAACATGGTTAACAACTATGAAGAGTTCTTGACACCAAAGATTCTATGTAAGCTGTATATATATAGCCCCTATGTACATGCATAGCAATATTTACAGTCACTGTAAATTAATTATTTTGTACATTTATTTTTAACTTCATTATTATATAGTTTGTTGGTTTTTCAGTTGCTATGTATTTACAGTTCCTCTCCTGCTTAGGGAAATAGTTTTCAACATATTTACAAACTTTTGTTTGTTTTATTTTTCTTTCACTTCTACACAGATGGTGCTTTATAATGTAGAAAGCAAAAACTGTTCAAATCAATTTCCATTTTTCTTGTTTAAAATCATTTCCTCATTCTAATTAAGAAATCTATTAATTTTTAATTATCTCTCTACTTTGAAGTGAGCGGACAAATCTGAATACATTTGACCAGTTAGTAATTAAACGCCCTGGTTACTGTTAGTCTGAAGTTTTATTTAGTAGACAAACTTTTAATTGGTCTTCCATGCTTGATGATAATTTTAAGTTACTGATTCAATTAAACCTGTTTTTAGTATCAAGGAACAAATTCTAGTTTTTACCATTTTTTTCTATTGTTTTTATCAAAAAGAATTTCTCCGGTGAATGGATCCTACTTGCTTCGATGCAGAAATCTTAATGTATTTTTTTGCTGCAGTAACATCATAAGTGTGGGCAAGTACATGTTTGATGTAAATTAATTTGTAGGACAAATGAAATCCAAATACACAGCATGTCTCGAGAGCTTCCATCTAACTTAGATGCAAAAATGTAGCCATATTTGTAGGTAAATTAACCAATAGTTGTTTGTTTTACAAGTAGGTTATTTTGACCTTTCAGTCTTCATTATCAATCATCGAAATCCATATTCTGTTTTTCCCTGTGTTCAATCTTTCTAGAGAGGTATATTGTGCTATTCTACACTACCTGGGAACAAGAGATGTCAGGTGACATTTTAACAATGGTTTTACTGTCACCCTTTACACTCTGTGTGCTTTTTATTGTGAAACCCTTTGTTGTTCAAATATTTAGAACTTTTGAAGGAATATTTATTTATTATTTCAAAAAATGTTGAGATATTGATGAAATAATGAATAGTGTGTAAATCTATTAACTTGTACATGAAGTTATCAAATTGTCTTTTTACCTTAGAATAATAGAATTCTATAGAGTTTTCATGGGTCAATATGAAGAGAAAGAAAAACATGATACCAAAAAGAATGAAACTCGGGAGGGAATATTATATCACTGATGAAATTATAATCCATATTTCTTTGTTAAAGGTTTTGATATTTTAAGTGTTATTTATAATTAAAGAATGAAATAGACAATGTGGAAATATTTGATAAATTATGGCGCAGACATATTGTAAGAAATTGTTAAATCTGTATGTATTTATTCCTGTAACATTTTAATGAACTTTGACCACCTCCACCTTTGACCTTGACCATGACCCAGCCAACCCTCATTCAGGGACAGATACCCATCATATGGTCGTAGATCATGTTTTATCACACTGCCTGCATTAGATTTATACCGAGAGGAGAGCTGGGGTATTCGGCTAGATTTCTAGAGTTTTAAATATGCTGTTCTTGTGTTCATATTGGAATTCAACGGATGTAAAGGCTTGATAATGTGCAATTGGTATCTATTTACTTTAATGCGCTATACATATTTTTGGTTTATGTGACACTGTCACCACTCCTGACCTTTGACCTTGGAGATGTGTGTCATGTGTGACAGACCTCACCTGACCCTTGAACCCTTAGATATTTAAGATAAGGAAGAATTGTGTGGCTGGACAAGTTATATAGATAGAGTCTGTACAATGTAGTTTATTACTTAGGTTTTTATTTTGTCATACCAGACAAATAAAAAAGCCAAAGCAACTGTATACCTGGTGTTTGTCCTCATTTTTAGCTCACCTGGTCCAAAGGGCTAAGGTGAGCTTATGCCATACCGTGGCGTCCGTCGTCCGTCCGTCCGTCGTCCGTCCGTTAACAATTTCTTTAAACGACTTCTTCTTCTTAACCACTGATTGGAATTTTACTAAATTTGACTGGAAGCATCCTTAGGTGGTGGGGAATCAAAATTGTACAAATGGTGGGGCTGACCCCCCAGGGGGCTGAGGGGCGGGGCAAAAAGGGGGCAATTTGGCTATATTGCTTTAAGCGACTTCTTCTCTGGAACTAAGAGATGGATATCAACCATATTTGCCTGGAAGCATCCCTAGGTGGTGGAGATTCAAAATTGTACAAATGGTTGGGCTGACCCCCCAGGGGGCTGAGGGGCGGGGCCAAAAAGGGGGCAATTTGGCTAGATTGCTATAAACGACTTCTTCTGTAGAACTATGCACTGGATATCAATCATATTTAATCAAAAGCATTCATGGGA